AAAAAAAAAAAAAAAAGAAGGCACTATTAAACTTGCTCCTTGCTCAGTTTTGCCTTTTTTTTGTCCGGGTTTGACAGCAAAAAGTGTCGGTGGAAGTGCTGGACCACCTGGAGCACCTGGCCCTGGTGGATTTCCGTGACTCGGAGGGCGTGGAGCGGCTGCAGAAGGCGATCGAGTTTGCTGACCAGCTTCATGAAGTGAACACTGACGGCGTGGAACCCATGGATTCAGTCCTGGAGGACAGGTGATGGACCACAGCAGCCTTCCTTTATCTGTTAATCTGTCAAACTGTTCACTTTTCTGACCTTTTATCCCTGGGAATCACCCTTTGCTTACAGAAATGGCCCCTTTGGTTACAGAAATGTCTTATCATGGTTGTGTGTGGGAGAAAGATGCCACTGGCCCACGAGATCCTTATGTGTGACCACAGCAAAGGTGAACTTCAGTTCCCTGGTCTGTCTTGTCATGATTGGTCTGCACAGGCTCCTCCTCAGACATCTGTCAGTGGCATTCTTGGATGCTTCAAAGTGTTCCAGTACTTGTCTCAGTGCTTACTCAGGACCAAAACCAGGTTTAGTGATAAGCTACCCTTCCTACTTCATAAAATAGCCTAAACACAACTAGTAATATGTGTTCTTCAGGTGTCTGTACCTCAGAGAAGATGATGTGACAGAAGGCAACTGCACCAAAGAGCTGCTGCAAAATGCCAGAGAGAAAGTAGAGGAGTATTTTGTAGCCCCACCAGGTATTGACTTGTTTGTAAAAAGCTCTTAATCTTTCTTGAATTAACCTGAGGAATATAACCTGCCATAGCTGCACTTACTTTCAGGAATCCTAGCTAATAATAGGGAAATACTAAAATAAATGTAGCCATCTGTGTAAAACTGTGCAATTTGTTGGTCCTAAAGCAGTACAGAGGCTGATCTGACTGAAGTTACTGAACATGTTGAGCAATTCTCTACAGGAAGTCAGTCAGGATTTACTTTCCTGACTTGCTCAGGGAATTTGAGCTGCCTGAACATACTTAGAATAAACCAGAGAAGCACATTAGTGCCAAGTTGTACAACCCAGAAGGTAACCCACTGCTGGTCTCATAAAACTTCCTTTTTGTTTTCCCTCAGGTAACATCCCTTTACCAAAGCTGGAGGAACGAGACACTTTCCTGCAGGGCTCTTAGTGACAGCCCAGAGCCCAAACACCCTTTCACTCTTTTATCTGGGAAAACAAAGTTTTGTGCAGTCACGACTGAAATGCCCTGACCTGTATTTTGGTCAAAAGAAGAGCACTTGCAAGACAACTTACAGAAGAGAGAAGGTGTAAAAGTTTAGTAATGCTACTGAAATACTCAATGTCTGTGAAGCTGGAAGGCAGATGACCTTAGTGCTTTTGTTTAGCAAAATTAATTTCATGTTATTCTTGAAGATACCGGATGGCTTAAAGGCTTTAAAGAGAACATTCACAGGTAATGATAAAAACACCATTTTTCCTCAACAGCTTTGTTTGGGAAACAAGAGGTTGGAAGGCTCTGTTTTTGTTTTTCTCGCCTGTAGCTCAACTCTGGCTCTGACCTGTCAGAAGTAACAGAGTCTGGTGTGGAGGAGGAGTCTGTGACACTGCTGAGTATCTCTGTGACATATGGACAGAACTCAGGGTTTCATTATTGAAGAAAAGGACTTTGAGAAGATTAATCAAATATTTTGCTTGTACTGAATTATTTCCATTTTATCTCTGTTCTCCATGTCTGTCTGGGTTACATTCTATTTCCCAGTCTGTATTTCTATCCTCATAAATTAAATAACTGGAATTGTACATAATTTCAGCAAAACACAAAAATATGTGTTCTAAAATAAAAGGTGCTTGCAAAGAAGTAGCACAGCTCCAAGAACAAAATGAGCCCCCCTGACTCTGACTGGAGAGGCCAGGAGACCATCACAGGAGGAGGTGCTGTGTAACATAACATTGTCACTGTCTCATCCTGGCAGAGGATTCTGAGGCTTCCTCATGGAATCTCCAACACTTAGAAGCAAGATAAGCCAAGGCTCACTGAGAGAAACCAGAGACCTGCTGAAAGAAAAATACTGCAGCAAACTAGAACCAGATAGTCCACACCACTCACTTTCAGGCCATAAGGGGCACAGTAAAAGACTGAAAAACAAATGTTTTTTTCCTAGGTGGTGCCCTGTCCACAGGGCATATGGATTTAATAATCCATAATTATTTATTCCAGTTGTAACTCCATGCATTAAAAGAGATCGTATGGAATTGTCTTCAGAAGTGCTGGAAAAGGCTGAAAAATCACCAGTTCTGAGTCCGCTCTTGTGGCTCTTGAGAGCCCAACAGGAGAAGGAAAGTGGCTCCTCCATGGCTGTGCTGGCACACGTTTCCCCTGGGGGCAGAAACTCACCTTGTGACATTGTAAGTTGATGTCATCCAGCTTACACAGGGCATGTTCTGTATCTTTTTGCAGAGAAAAGCCATTACTCCCATTCCATCTCACTGTAACCAGCTTGCTGCTATGTGTCCCTTCAGCTCCTGCCAGTTGTGACAGGGGATGTCCTGAGCAGGGACTTAGAACTGTTTCTGCTGTGAACTGCATCTTCCACATCCCTGCAAACAGCAGACAATATACATTAGAGAGTAATGATACATGTGCCTTGTTTCTTAACATCTCAAAAGTCCACCAAGCATAATACAAGCATCATAATTCAAAAAACACGGAAAAAATACTAAAACCTTTGAATAATACTGGTACTAGGTTGAGCCATTGGTGGCTTGTTCTTAATACCATGTGGTCAAACTGCTTTGCTCTTTGTTATGTGCCATGTATTTAGTGGAAAACCTTGGCTGAGCTGGCTTTGCTGGTTTAAGAAAACACAGCTTCTGGGTAGGATTCACTTTCACTTGCTGCCCTCAAAGGTTGCATGTCTGGTAAGCTTTGAACTGTTCTTTTTCTGGAACTGATTGTTTCCCCCCAGATTTCTCTGTCAGGAAATGAGAGCAAACACTTGTCCCACTCTTACTTGTGCAGTTACTTCATTATTTGTTTAAGCTTCCATAATATACACACACACATATTTGCATATGCATAAAACATGTAATTACTATGATACCTGAATTCTTTCAAGGGTATTGAAGTAAAGCCTGTATTTAACCCCACTAATCAAATCCTCTGCAAAGCTGTAATGCTGTGTTAGTGTTTTAGTCTTGGGCTTTTCAAGATTCAGACCCTGCAAATGCTGAAGTTTTACAAATATACAAGCTCAGCCTAAAAGTAATTTAGGATGCATATATAAATCATGACAAGGAAAGACTCAATCGTGTTAGCAGGTAATTCCCAGTCTGAGAAATTCCTCCTTGGAATTCCATTTTGGCCTTATCCTTTTGACCATCAGAGAGAATGGGGACAATATTATTTACATAGAAAAAGGGAGAGGAATTTGAGAGTGAACTGCATGGCTGCAGGAGCTTCCAACCCAAAATAGCATCAGGTAACTATTTAAAAGCAAACCAACAATTTGAATAACATGATCCCACATTCCCAATGCTAAGCTTAAAACTGCCAGTTCAGTGCTGCTCCCACACACTCTGGTGAGAGAACAGACTGCCTGCTGCTTGTTCCCCACAGCCCAAACTGCATTTAAAGTGGAAAACACACATTTCCTTAATGGAGGGGTTTGCTGCAACTTCACCACTAATGAGGGGATTACAGCCCTGACTCAGACACCTGCAACCACCAAAACAGAAATGCTGGCAGGGGCTGGCAGGGGCTGGATGTTCTGCCTGGGGGGCAGAACATGTCAGTGCCTGAGCCTGCCCTTGGCAGGTCTGACGTGGTGGGTGCTGAGCCCCCCTGGATGCTGCTGAGCCCCACTGGGCCCTGGTTGCACCCTCAGGGTGACACAAGGCACCCATCGTGTGCTGGTTCACCTGCTTTCACTTCAGGGCCCCAACCCACAAGTGGAGCATATGTTTCCTCTGGAGACCACGGAGAGAACTTGACTCAGACCTGCCAAGATTTTTCCCCCCCTGTAAATCTGTAGATATAAAACTGGATTAGAAGCCCTCGTATGCGGATTCCAGGTTTACAAAGAAAATGTCAATGTGGAGACTTCTTCAGTTTTACAGAAAGAAAATGGTAGCTGTTTTATTGCTAATAATGATTATTCTATGTTTTGATAGTAACTGGAAGCCCTGGAAAAAATCCCTATTAATACAGCAGTATGGAGTGCAACAAAGAGCAAAAAAACACCTCTCCTGCAAAGTGCTTACAATCTAACCTCCATCTGCAAGAGGAATCTCATGATATGCCTTATCCAGTTTCCTTCAGCACCTCCTCTACCCCAGCTATCATCTCCTGTGTGCATTTGTTCTGCCTTCCCCTGCAGCTCTGCCCTGGGGGAAACTATACTTTTATATTCTTGATTAACAAGTAGGGCTCTAAAGTCTCTCTTTAAAGTCCTGTATCTTGGGCTTTAATGTTCCCCATTAACGACGTGTATCTCACCCACACTGACATTTCCTGCAGTCGTCATCACATCTGTTTCCTCAGCCAACCATTTCTTAATAAATGCACAGAAATTTGCCTGCAGCTACCAAACACAAGCGCCTCCTCAGAGATTCATGGGTGTTTCTGAAGTTTAGTGTAAGCACTGGGAAGAGTGTTAAATGGTTCAGTCCTGTCAGCACAAAATTGTCCAGTACTCAAACAACCACTGCTAGTGCTGCAGATACTAAAGACTGTTCTGTAAATTAATTACTGGCTGTGGCCCCAAGACCATTCAGAGCTTCTTCACATCCCTAGCACACAAGCAAAGCTGTGAATTGCATCTCTCCTAATTGGAATGCTAAAACCTGGGAGCCAGAAGTTATTCCTGAGATACTCTAGTGTGACAAAAGTGTTACATTATCCAGTTTCAATATTTTTGGGGGCGGTATATTTTTTTCTGAGGTTGTCTCAGAGCTTGCAAAAGCGAAGAGTTGCTTGCAGTTATGCTGCTTTTGCTGTGAATGACACTGAGCAGGCAACTATACTGTACTAATATGAAAAAATATTTGCATTTCAGGTGAGGTGGATGACTGCTCTTGAGGGTACAAAGAAATGGGAGTCCTACCAACCAGTATTTGAAAACCTCTTCTAAGTCATCCTGTGCTGTTTGCTATGGACATGGTTCCTGTTATTAACAGATCACCAGCTCTGGAAGACTCAACAGGGATGTTTTATCTGCTGACAAGAGCATAAGCAGAAAGTGCCCCAGGGAGAGTGAAACTAACTAAACAGAGCACCCAGGATCTCCCAAAACATCTTGCTTCATTTAAACAAACAAACAAAAAAAACCCCCCAAAACCAACCAAGCAAAACAAAACCCAAACCAAACACAAACAAACAAAATGTGGCAAGAGGGGCAAGAAACGGCGAGGTCTGCAAAAGATGCCATAAAAGAGACTTGAGAAGTCTGATAGGTTCAGTTCACTTCATGAACAAAGTTTGGAGCTGACTTGATCATACTCAGTAAACATGGGTAAGAGATTTCTCTCAGAGGTCATTTATTCTGAATTGAAAACAGCTGAAAACAGACACATGATCAGGACGTGGTCAGAACAGGACAGATGATCAAGTGCCATTTACAAGCTGTGGAACTCCTTCCTTTGACAAGGGTGGGCTTTGCTCTCAGTAAAGGGCATATTACTGAAAAAACTATCCCACATAATATCCCAATATTATTTCAGTAATATCCCATATTACTAAAAGACCTATTCCCAATAAGAGCTTGTTTCAAAAGAGAAACAAAGTCTGTTGCAGAGATTACTGGGTTAAACTCACTGTCTCGGTGATCCAGGCTGGGGCAAGTAATAAAATGGCTTTTGGGGTGCACATA